TATATTCTTGAACCAACACAAATATTATCCAAAAATTTGATCACTTTGCATGGTCTTCATGATTCTTCTTTTGTTGACACTCTTCTGGAAGTCAATGTAAAGTATCATCATGAAAATGGTGATCTCCTTACTGATCTCACTATTTTTCGTCAATTGGTTGGCAATCTCAATTACTCGACTATCACTTGACTTGGTTTATCATTTGCCATCTAGCAAGTTAGCCAATTCATGCAAGCTCCGTGACATCTCCATCCTGTTGTCCGTCGTATCATTTGAAATCTTTAGGTAACGTTAGCCGTGGATTATTTTCCATGTTGGCTCTCATCTTTGTCTTGATGCATTTAGTGATACGGATTAGGCGGGGTGTCCAGATACTCGTCATTTTGTTACGGGTTGATGTATGTTTCTTGGTGTTGTTTTCTTGGAAGAGTAAAAAGCAGGCCCATTTATCTAAATCATCGATGGAATCCGAATATCGAGTCATGTCCGCTGCCTGCTCTAAGATTGTCTAGCTTTATGTGCTGTCAGTTGAACTTGGCTTCTCTCAGTGTAGGGGTGCTCAAGAAATTTTTGTGCTAAATATATTTCTTTAATATAGAAGGGAAAAGTTGACAATTCAAGTCAAATTGACAGTAAGTTTAGATAGAAACTATTATAGAGGACAACATCTCTAATATGTTGAAGATTGAGGGTACGGTCAAGAAATAATGACTAGGATAAAAGTACACGTGAGGTAAATGTTAGGGGAGAGAAGCACGGCTCACCCATTTAAAGTATGATGCTCGGACATAGGTGCCGATGTTCGATACGGGTACATATCTAGAAGTTGGATCCTTCTTATTTTAAAATTTAATATATATGTATACGTTTAAAAATTATCCGAATTTTGGATATGGATATTGTGATATGTCTTACGAAATATATTTTTTAAAGATAGAACAATACCAAAAAACAAAGGAATGCTTTTTGTTAATATATATTTTTCAATTTGATAATAATGAATATATGTCAGTATAATTTTGTTGTATTAAATTTTTTACACTGAAAATTGACACGCTACGTGGTTTTTCAATCAAAATGTCACATAAAGACGATCTGAATTAATATTTCATGTAGAAACTAATATATATATTTTATGTAAAGACAAATCCCATTTTATATAAAATAAATTTCAATATATTAAAATATATGTATACATGCATCAACTTATTTACTATAAGTCTGTTTGAGCCCTACTTTTTGTCCAAAATGCATGATTGAGAATGTGTGGAAATAAGGAAAATTTTTGGATTTGCATATAATATTATTTTATTAAAAAATGTGTAATTGAAAATAAGAAAGAAAAAATATATATCAAAAATAATGAGGAC